AGGAAGACTGCTAAAGGAGCCAGGCTCTGGGGTAAACTCACCTCAAGCACTGCGAGGCATGAGCCCCACTGAGATCTCCTTTCAGATCAACCAGAATCTCTGCACAGAGGTGACCTCACCCTGAAAGCCACAGAGGAGACAACAGGAAAACTGTCTGCCTCCCATCTGACTGCAAGAAGTCATCAGGTTCACTGTGTGCAAACCAAAACTTGAACTCATAAATGGTCAGAAAAAGCATCACTGCATTTTGGGAGCACATGGGCAGCCCCAGGGAGGATGAGGATCTGCTCTGCACAGTGCTTACCCACAAATGATCCAAAATTTATGGGGTACCCACAGTTCCGGAGAAGGAGGATGGATCCAGCCCAGATGCTCTGCCAGGGAAGAGAGCAGCGGGGGCACATGACTGCTGATGGATTGCCTGGGTGAGTTACCCCGGGTGCATTTCCCATCCTGGTTCTCTGAGCTTTACCCTCTGGGCACCTGCGAGCTCCTCAGGGTGAGAGCATCTGTCAGGCTCTGGGTGCTGAGCCTCTGACAGCAAAACACTTCTGAGGTGAGGAGTCCAGCCCCTCTCAGCATCAACCCAGCATCCCTTCATCACAACTCTGGCCTCAGAAAGCCAATTCAATTGTTTTCTAGGTCTACAATGAACAATCCTTCTTTGCACATTCATGGATGATCAGAAAAAAAAAGAAAGCATGAAAAAAAATTGTTAACCACCTAAAACTTCCTGTTTTTCTTTAATTAAAGCTGAGAGGAAGAGGAGGCCTGCTCCCACCCAGTGCCCAGCAACCCCTCATCCCAAGGAAGTTAATCCGTGAATGGGAGGGCAGGGCTGCTGCTGGCTCTTTCCACATGCTCCCTCTTCCCTCACTGTGCTGCTGTCACCTCTCCAGCTGAGCCTCCTACATAAACCCACATGGCAACAAAAACCAAAGCGAAGCACAGTCCCACCTGGCTGAGCACACCACCTCTCACCACATTTCTTACACAGAAATGTGGGGCACCAGCATCTCCCCATCTGGAAAAGTGAAAACGAGGATGGGGTGAGGCTGAGCTTGGTGTAAAGCTCAGCTCCAGCTACATCCAGGACCTCATGTGAGCAGAGAGCAGGAGTCTGATGGATAGCACCTTCCAGCAAAAATACCATCAAGATGTTCACACACCTCAAGAAATGTCCAGGTAGATGAAGGCCAGCAGCTGGTGGACAGTCTAAACCCAGAGAACTGAAGCCAGGCTGCAGAAGCCCCCAGCCACGCTGCAGACCCCAGGCTGGTCCCTCTCCAGTTGGGAACCAGAGTAAGGAGGAGGCAGAGGAAAAAAGGCAAGCGGCATCCATCAGCCCTGCCCACGGGGTATGAGTCACGATGCAGCTCGCGTGGCACAGCAAGTCAAAATACACAGCCCAGCAGCTGCTGGAGAGCACAACCCTGCCCGGCTCTGCCTCCTGCTCTGCCAGCTGATGCCAGATCCTGGCTGTGGGGCAGGCACAGGCACCAACAGCTTGAGCTGACTCAAGCTCTCCCAGCATCTGGCTGAGCACATACAGCTAAAATGCATTTCAGAGGCTTCCTCCCTATCTCAACAGACTTTTCTGCCAATATTCTTCCTCCCAAGACAGTTTAGGAGGGGAAAAATATAGAATAAAACAATCTAAGCGTTAGTCATGGGTATTTCATGGACTAGCAGGGCCTTGGAGGGGGCTCCCCGGTTCCCCCAGAGTTCAGCCATGAAGACCAAGCTCCACATCCAGCCTGAATTGTGCAGAGCAACCTCACAGCAACCTCACAGCACTGCCAACCCCCCATAAAGCAAACTCCTTTCCTCTCCCCCAGTCCAATAGCAGGATTGCTGCGGTCACGAGCCGCTTGCCAAAGAGCCAGCAGACGGTGAGACATGGCAGCTGGAGGCAGAGCAGTGCCAGCAGCCTGAGAGCGCGGCAGGAATCCCCCCTGCGCGGCTGGAGCAAGCCCACGGTGACGGCGTTACGTGCCAGCTGATGGCAAAGCTCGAGCACAAACTTAAGCAATTAAGAAAGCTTCTCTCTAGGATTTTAGCTCCTTAGCTTCAGCACCTTGCAGGCTTAGCACCTCGTGGATCTAAGCCTGCAAGGTGCTCCCTGGATGTGTGCCGAGTATCCTCAGCTCCCACCACAGGCAAGCAGTAAAGGTGCTGGGTGTTTCAGGGGAGCTCTGGGGACACACGGCTGCCTGCGTGGAACAGCCAGGGCTTCATACACGGCTTGCCTGAGGTCTGGAAAAAACAGAGGAGGAATGAAAGCAGAGATGAGAGCCAAAGCCTTTCTGCTGACCATCTGGGAGCTGTTTTTTTTCCTCTCATGCTAACAGATCTTAGACTTGCAAAGCAGTAGAACTACTCAAACCCTCACTGCTCACAGTGTGAGGGGCACATGCTCCCTAACAGATCTTCCCACCTGAGTAACTTTAACACCGGAGATCTTTAACAGATCTTCCCACCTGAGGAACTCTGAGCACTTTTTGCTGCACTCCTAAGGAGCAGCCAAAGCACAGCTGCTGGAGGTTATTTTCTCCACACAGCTTCTCCTCTACACCCCCACATGCAACTCCAGAGAATATTACTCAGTGCAGAATTTGGCCCAGAGTATTTCCTTTGGCAGGACTCCCCAGCTAAATCTACCTTGAAAGACACAGCAACAAAAAACCCCCACCTTTTTTACTCGGTCTAGTGTAAAAATTATGGTGCTTGTATTGTCAGGCTTATAGCTCAGCACTGAATAGCCCCAAATTTCTCCCCTCTTCTCCCCCTGGAATCCTCCTCATGTCATGGGTGTTGGAGGAGAGCTAACTACAAACTGAACAGCAAGTGGCTGACTGTACTTGTCACTGGAAATTCAGTTAATTCCACTCGACAGGATAAGCCACAAGCAGGAGAGGTGGGTGGGAGAAGAGCTAGCTTAACACTCTGCTTTTTTAAATCTGCAGATAGCAGTTGTACTAAAACCGGCTACACTTCTGAATGAATGTTACAGAAAATAAAACACCGAATGCTTCACAAAATTACACATCACATCCAAAAGCGTAGGTATACATCTTCCCACTCTTTCAACTCTTTCTGGTCACAAATACGCTCATTTTTGAACAAAAGTGGAAAGAGGCAGAGACAGGCAGTTGGCCATGATGTGTCCTCTGAAAACGGACATCAGGTGGAAGCACTGGGAACGCACACACTGGACCGACTGGGGCCCAGAGCTGAACTGGGCTGTCTGGCATCACAAATGATGGTTTTTCCTCTAGGAAATGGCACAGTTTTGAGGGTCTTTGGGGAAAAAAGATGGGAGAGGGAGAAAACATGCCAGGAGAATAATTCAGCTGAGGTTAAGCTACACAAATAAACGCTATTATAGTTTTATTTCTTCCACGACTCCAGCACATGTTGCCCCTCAACCCCCCAGCCTGAACCCAGGGATCCACCACAGGTCACAGCCTGAAACCCCCGGGGAGGGGGCTGTCACCCCTCGGACCTCACACCCCCAGAAGGGCCCTGGAGAGCTGTAGGCAGGCAAGATGCTATGAACACAGGTCCCTCTGCCCGGAGCACAGGTCAGCACTGCCCCAGACACCGCATCACCCCACCCGGACACCGCCCCGACGTGCTCGCCCGATGCTGATGACCAGAGCGGTGTGGCTATCCCCCCGGCCTCACCTTTTTCAGGAAGGCCATCCGCGGCCGGTAGCGCTGGCCCTGGTCGAGCCGTGCGACAGTCATGGTGCCGTACCGGGCCGGGCAGCGCGGCGGG